CAACTGGCACTTGAGCACAGGCCCCCGTAGAGTTAATGCCCTGGCCGTGTTCTTTCAAAGGTTGACACATCATACAACAGCCACGCACCAATGAGATTGCAGCATTGTCGGCACAAAGTGGTCGTGAGCCAATGAGATCACAGCGAACATGTGGAGGCCCGTGGACTGCCTGGACGTGGCCAATTGTAAAGGGCCCAGACCCGTAACTGCAATTGGGTCTGGACGCAAAAACTGAGACCGGACCAGAAGCTACTGGATGCTCGCCCATCCAGGCCCAGAGGCAGCAGAGGTTGAGCTCACTCTCCATATAGGAAAGTGAGCATCACTGGGGAGGTCATTCTGTCCTAGGCAGGCAATGCAGCCACGCTGCTGCGTTGCAACTTCGTGATCTGCACGAAGTTGTCGGCTGAGTCGCGCGCACGGGCGCTGAGGTGTGAGGTGCACTGCTGGTCAATGGACACACGGCAGCCAAAGTTGGGCTGCAGGGCGCAGGTCTGGATGGCGATGGTGGTATTTGGGTGTTGAGAATGCACACTGTGGGAAGTCAGGGGTGATGAGGAGAAACGAGATACATACCTTGTGCATGAGGAAGGTCAGCTATGGTGTTGACATCATGTACGTTGGTCTTCAAGGTCGAAGTGAGCCTGCTGCATGAATGTTAGTGTTGTAGGATAGCGAGTAGTGTAGGTTGGGTGCTAGGCGCCAGACAGAGTAGGAGCGACATGGGATACGGTGTTGATGTGGCCTGAGGGCTCGAACATTAGCTCGTGAGTCCATTGTATTGCTTTTATCTAGATGGAATCTCGGTGCATTTGCACTCTCTGCTCGTACATGACTACTTCGACTTCTACGTGATTTCACAACTTGGTTTTCTCTATATCGCTCTTTCTCATATTCCTTGCAACTAAGTATAAATCTAGGAAATCCACCTTTCTAAAGGAGATGCTGCCCAAATTTTTACAAATTCAGGGAGTTGGACAAAATTTGACTTTCCAAGATTAGAGTTTGAATTTTGTTTTCATATTTGAGTTATTATAAATTCTAGAAAGACACTTTTCCTACAGGAAACGTTGCCGAAATTTTCTTAGTTTACAGGAGTTAGATTACATTTTGACAGGTGGCATGTTTGACAATCCACTCTTTATAGTGAAGATTCTGTCAGAGGTCTATCTTTTCATTAGGCACTGACTTGGGGGTAGACTCAGGATTAATTAAGTAGACGGATCCTTGGTGAAATCGTGATATGGAGATTACTCTCGATTTGGACTCATAGATTTAGCTTGGGGATTGGCCTTTCTTCTGTTACAGGTCCTCTTGAGCGTCTGATTCGAAGTAAGGACTAGATTCAGCTTGATCCTACAAGAATCGCCTTTTGTTATAACACATAACAGGTCGATTGCCGATTTGACGGTCTACAACTCAACTCCAAATTTCATCCTCATACTCAACTTAAAAGGGTTTAGCCCTGGTGATTTTATTGTTTTATTAAGATTTTCACCCGAACTTTTATTGAATGGCCATTTAACAAAGGTACTGAGTACTTAATTATGGTTGGTTGGACAAAGTTTGGGGCTTACATGGCTAAAGCGAGGGATATGAGTATAGAGATTTGTTGAAATTGACTCCGTGTAGGGCATGGACTTTAGTTGACTCTTCGATGTGATTGCAGGTATGTTCTGTGGTTCGGATTTTGGATTTGACTGCTTGCGATCACACACATATATATCGCTGTGAGGAGTCCCACTGTGATTGTGAGCAGTGATCGTCACATATTTATTTCCCCCTTTACATATATATATATATATATATATGTACCTATATTGGGTGTCCGCGTGGGCCGAGGGGCCCACGCTTAAGGATTTAACTGGGGTTGAGACTGAGAAAGAAAAGAAAGCCCCTCTATTTGTTGTATGCTTCTTAAAGATTTTCTCAGTCGGACATTGGTCCTTGGTCGAGATTCAAGGTCCTTGTCCTGGACACCCCAGATCCTTGACTCTGCATGGAAGGGATCCCCCCTCACGCAAAGCCTATTTGCCCTGCCTACCGGGACACTCAGCCTAAAGGTCGGAAGTGTCGTGGAGGCCGCACGGCTATTCCTTCAGTCGTACAATATAGCAAAGGGGTAAGCCTTCACGATACTTCGAGTCTGACACTTGAGTGTCATAAGCGGTACGCGGATCCACGAGAGACCCCTTGATTATGGGCACTACATAATACGCCATCATTGTGACTGCTTCCGTATTCACGCATTGCTAGTCGATATGAGTTAGCCCTGCGTCCACGAGGTTTTATACTAAGTCTCGCGCGCGGCGCCTGTCCTATTTTCGCGTCGGAGAGTTATGGGATGGCTACTAAGGGACTAGGAGTGTTGTCGCGTTGTTTGTTCTCTGTCGTTTCGTGTATATGTATGTGTGTGTATGTGTTTATTATTATGTTTTCTAGAGTGACGTGGGCGTGGTGAGTGGGACGCGTCCTACTCGACCGGCGACGAGTCGCACTTGGGACCTCAGCCCCCCAAGATATCGATTCGCGTGCGGGTCCGATAGAGGTGTAAAACCGCCCATACACCCTATGCTACAACGCAGGAGAAACGCCCTCGGCTGGTCCACCTCTGCAATTGCAACTGATTAGCTTTCGTATTGTGGACTGGTAGCTCGACGAGGATACGTCCACCGAAGGGAGGTGACAGCTCCGGCAAGGTGGAGGTAAGTCGTGCCTCGCGTAGGCCCTATCTTGTCGTAGGGGCTTGCGAGAGGTATGGCTGGCGCACTCGACCGGAGCGGCTTGCAGAAGCTCCATGTGTATTCGCGGCAAGGATTAAGACCAACTCCTGCGTGATGCGGCCGAGACGGTCCCGCCCCGTTTCGTGCGGTGCCGGACCGATGTCGTCGACAGGTGGTGTCGTTGCCGGGGATAACGGAAGTCTACCATTATCCCTGGTGGAACGACATCCGAGTATAAGATTGAGAGAGAATAGGCATATAAGGAAAGACAGAGCACGTAATGTCTTGCCAAGCTATTTATGATGGATGAACGTTATTAATGTAATAACAATTTTCCTTTGATCTGATTGGCTGCCCGGGTTACAGAATCGTTAAGGAAACCCTATAGGGAAAATGGGGCCTATTAAGATGAGTTCAGAGGGAAGGAATAGGTAGTACTACTGAATCGTTAAGTGATTGCCTAGGAAACCTGATAGGCGTCACGGTAAGTTAGGACGTTGGATTAAAATTTTCTCTTTCCTTGCTCTTCTTAGCTGGGAAATTTGAATAAGAGGTTGGGCCAAGATGTCTGGATGCATAGCTGATGGTGTTGGGAAGTCCCTGACAATTGATGATTTGGTTGAGGCCCTGGATAGGCGAGAGAGACTACAGAGCAATGTCCCAAAGGTCAACACCTTCCATTTTAACGGGGAACGAGTTTCAGAATGGTTGGAGTTGGTAGAACAGGCACTGGTGGGGCTATCAGATGCGGTGAAGTTCCAACGTATTCTAAAGTACGTACTCCATGGCTAGGTTCAAAGATGGAATGCAGAGGAAATATAGGCTCGGTGATGGCCTGTTGACCACTGCAGATTTGGAGGCGATGAATAGGGACGGCTTCACCACGGTAGTAACCTTCGTCCAAAAATTCAAGAAGAAGGTGAGAAAGGTCCTTGGGATTTAAGAGGAGGCGCTATCTTTCTGGGGCTGCTCACTGGCTCGGAAGTTTCAAAATTAACGAGCCATGGGGGAGGAAGTGCAAAGCTCACCTTGGCCACCATTGACGAAGGGTTAGAGAAAGGGAGTTTGGACCAGGCGGAGCACTATCAAATGCGCCATCAAAGGCGAAAAAGCAAGGAAAGGGATGCGACCGCCTCCGGAACACCGGGAGTGAGAAGGATCGTCACCGACGTGCTCACATAGTTGGGCTATTGGAAGGACGCGGTGATACAAAAGAAGGTACTGACGATGATCCAAGGAAAAGGGAAAGAGGCCATCGTGGAGGAGGCCATTCAGGAGGAATGGGAAGAAGGGGAACCAATGCCTCGTCACCTGGCAGTGGTTTCGCCAAGTACAGCGGCTCCGTCAAGCAGCACGGGGCCTTCACAAGCGACGATACCACCATATGGGCAGTGGCCATGGCCCGTGTTTAAAACTTTTGTGCCATGGGGTGGTCCAACGTCGTCTCGATTGATAATACCTTACGCAGCGCCCCAAACGAGTATGCCACCACCAAGTTACCCGGCAGCACAGGCCCAACCCATGGTACCGCCTTCGTCGCCCGCATTGAGTTCACAAGGTGGCGTGGCAGGAGGGGGAGACCAGGGTCAGGGTAACCAAGGGAATGGAGAGAGAGGTGGCGAAAGAAGGCGCGGTAGAAATGGCGGAGGCCGAGGGGGAGGGCGTTGGGATAACCAGGGCTACCAAGGCCAAGGGAACCAAGGGGGACAGGGAGGCGAAAGAGCCCGCTTTGATTGGACGACCGCAATATGCCAGCATTGCGACAAGCAAGGTCATCCCATACGGTTTTGCAATATTAGGCGAGAAGATGAGGGGGCCGGACTGATCTACTCCAATATGGATGGTGATATATATGATCAGTACAGGGAATTCGTCGACCGAAAGGTTCCCGATGGGGTGAGAGCGAAAGCCCAGAGAAGAGTGGCCGCAAGACGGGCACCACCCGCTATGTTCAAACTGTGGCAGGAAAGAGAGGATCTGCCAATAAGGGTGGAAGAGGTGGAATGCGGTGAAAAAGTGACTCAAAGGTTGCAGGCAGGGGCGATAAAATAAGAACCTATGGTCGTTGAGTCATATGAAGAGAATGAAGATGAGGAGACGAAGCCTGTATCGATCCTCATTGGAAAGATGGAAGATTTGTGGGCCAAAATGGGTCGGTACCGACAAAAATTGACAGATATATGTGAAGAGGTAAAGGACTGGAGAGCCGGTATTACCCCCAAGGTCTTCCTTCATGATTCTGGCCCCGAGTCCATGCCAGGAAGGCAACGGTATCCTGGAGTGGCAATGGTTGGTACGGGACCAAGGTCTGGAATGACCCATAGGCCCCCTACCCCGCAAGCAAGGGTTGCACTGGCAGCCCGAACCAGAGGACAGGCCAAAGCGGGGACAAGCCAGGAGCAGCCTCGAAAAGAGCCTGAGCCAGAGCAGAAGAAACAGTCTGTGGAAGTAAAGGAGGAGGAGGATGAAGATGAGGAAGATGAGAGACTCCGCAAGGAGGAAGACAGGAGGGCGGAACAAAGGGCAAAGAAAAGGCGACCGCAAGAGGAAGCCAGGCCTGTTCTACGTGATGTAACGCCAAAGAAAAAAAAGAAATACGCGGTCCGGCTCGAGGAAGGGTTTGATGTGGAAAGGGTAATTGACAGGCTGCTTGAGGGTCACAACGATCTCATGACCCTGAAGGAAATTTTAGCGTCTGCTCCAAGGCTCCGAGACGAGCTGAAAGGGAGGTTGTCAAGGCGCTTGGTACCGAGTGTCCATCTTAGCGTAATTCTGCCAAAGGAGGCAGAATGGGAAGAACCGGGAACAAAGATGGATTGGAAATGCGTGGCCTGTGGTATGGTGGATCTGGTGGTAAAAGGGACAAAGTGCGCTGCAATGGTGGACACGGGGGTGGAAATGAACATCATCAAGAAAGCTAACGCGCTCAGGCTCAGGTTGGCGATAGACCGCTCAAATTGCGGTATTCTGCACGGGACGGACTGTAAGGCTGTATTTTGCGAGACAACCTCTAACGTGCTCTTAGAGATTGGAAGAGTAAAGGTCAGAACGTGCTTTTTCGTCAAGCCAAACGTGGACCATGCTATCCTCCTAGGGAGGTCATTCCTATGGAGGACGGAGACATTGATGTTTAATAACCACGATGGGACTCTAATCCTAATCCTGAGTTATCCAACATGTGGTAATTTTATGAGATAATTGTCTGTCAGAACACGGGGCCGCGAAGCATAAGGAACCAGCCTAATCCCGGCTCGTTCACGATCGAGGAATCCAAGGACGAGCGTCGGAGGCTCCTTACAGGCCTGAGGAGGAAGCAAGGGAGGAAGTGTTTTCCATCAGTTTGTCCGATGTAAACAAGGTTGTGGATGTAGTGGCCACGCATGAAATGGCAGATCCAGAGGCCATTCCGACGCTGAGGGAACAGGTTGTGGACTGTCCCCGAGTGGGAGAAATGAAGTTGATCTATCGGCTTCCGGGAGGAAGGAGGGACCCTGCGCTGATGCAAGCACAAGCCGTAAGCCGAACTTTTTTAGGAGACGGCTCAAGCAGGGTTCCCAAAGGCGGTACAAGACGATAGATAAGTGTCGCCCACTTCCCGTTCTTGTCAGTAAAGACGAGGATATTTATTACGAACGAAAACGAGGACTGATACGGCAAATGACGAAACAAGCGGTAGCGGGTCCGTGTCGTATCAATGATAGAAATGAAGGGAAGTTGATAGTGGGGGAGCCCGAATTTTTGCTACCCCAGAAAAGGGTATTAATGGTGGAATTGATGAAGAAGAGGCATCGCGCCTATGCGTTTGCCGATCAACCAGCGCGAGAGGTTGGACGTGGATAAGATCCCTATGATCCGTATCCATATCGTACGGTATGAGCCCTGGAACTTGAGAGGGGCATGATATCATAATCCTGACGAAGAGAAGAAGGTGGTGGATTGCCTCGACGGCAAGATACGCACGCACGTCGCCGACTATTCGAGCGAACCATATGCATCGTCATGGTTTTGCTTTATCAAACCTAATGGGACGTTGCGATGGGTACAGGACTTGCAACGATTAAACGTTGTGATTATGCGGGATTTGGGAGGCTTGCCGAATGAGGATGAGTTGTCAAAATCACGTGTTGGGAGGCCAATAATTTCACTTATTGACCTCTACTCCGGATATGACCAGTTTCCAATCTATCTACAAGACAGACAAGTAACAATGATGCATACGCCGTGAGGACTTATCCACATGAATGTGGCTCCAGAAGGATGGACAAATGCAGTAGCAATGGTTTCAGCAAGATATGATTTGGGCCACGCAGTCAATCTGGCCGCATATCACGCAACCATATATTGATGACCTGGCAGTAAAAGGCCCGAGGTGGCCATCGGCCAGACGCTAAAAAGACAGACAAGATTATCGAATGACCAATACCGTTCCATTCGATAGCAGATGTTAGAAGCTTCCTCGACACTTGTGGGTTCTGGAGAACCTTCGTCAAGAATTTTGCTGCCAAGACGGAGCACCTGAGAAAGCTAGTAGGTCATAATCAAAAATGGATCAGGGGTGAGGACCAGGAGAAGGCGGTGGAAGGAATGAAGGAGTTTCGAGAAGGAGGGATGGTATTGGGAGCGCCGAACTATGAGGCTACGAAAGTAAGGCCTTTTATTGTTGAGACGGATGTTGGACCGACTGCCTTCGGTGGAGTTTTGATTCAGGCAGATATTGAAGGAAAGGAGAGACCGTTGCGGTTTGAAAGCCGAACTCTCTATACAACAAAGATAAATTATTCTCAGTTCAAAAGAAAAACTCTCGCTCTCCTTCACTGCCTAAGAACCTTTCGAAACAATATCTTTGGCTGAAGATTCATATTGAGAGTGGACCCAACTGCTCTGGCCTATTCCTTGAGGAATTACGTTCCATCGGATCCGAATGTTGTCAGATGGCTAACGTACATCTGGATGTTTAACTTCGAATTGGAGCGGATTCTTGGGATAAGAATAAAGCGGATGGTCTGAGCCGTATCAACTGGGATAAGTAAGAGGGGGAGGCAGTAGAGGACACGCCCCCAATTGATGGCTTCTTGGATCAGGAGGAGGGCATCCGCCTTCATATTAATGAATTGTCCCCTCGAGTACCTAACTGTGTTGGCTATCCCATTTGGCATGCTCCAAGAGGGCACGGGCAGAATGCGAAAGTGGTACTCAAGCCTTTCGAAAAGGAAGACCCTTGGGGGGGCAAGGATGTCCAATGGATGATGAAGTTGGCGCTTGCGGGCACACATAGTATGGTGGAGGTAAGAACGATAGAGGAAGGGCAGACCAGGTAGAGAAACATGAGGAGCTGATGGGAGGGATATACCTCCTTGTCAATACACTTCTGCAAGGAAACTTTGATCAGATAGGCTCCGCTAAACCCGGCCAAGGGCGAAGATATTGTGCCAAAAAGTCAGGACGACGAGTTCAAAGAAGGGGAGATCAAAGAGGCATTTCACGCAGAAGAGTATGATGGGATCTACCTGCAGCTAGGGCTCCTCTTATCATGTGAAATGAGGAATAGGGATGCAAGTGAAAGGGCCAAAAGAATGAAGCACCTTTACCGGGTGAGAGAGGGCCAACCATTTGTGAAGAGGCAAGTAGGAAACCCAAGAAGGGTCGTGTGTGGGAGAAATCGTAAGATAGATGTGATAGTTGCGCTTCATGATCGCATTGCAGGGGGGCATCCAGGGGTTAATGCCACATATACCAAGATAAGCTACTGGGATGGGATGATTGGAAATGGTGGCTAAATTTTGCCAATCCTGCGTACCTTGTCAGGAGAGGTCTCCTTTGAGGCCTAGGGAGTGGGGGCCGTAGTACATCTCGACTTATTGTTCATGCCAATTGGGGATCATGGCTACAACTACATCTTCGATGCGCGGGATAACCTTACCGGCTTTGTAGATGGCCGTGCCATTCGTACCAGAACCGGTTTAGTTCTCATAAGCTGCATCGAAGAGTACTACCTACGTTACCCCTTCGTCAGAGAGTTCGTGATGGACAGGGGATCATACTTTAATTACCAGGAGGTGCAGGAGTTGTTGGCAGGATACGGCGTGGTGGCCAATTATACCACGGCCGCACACCCCCAAGCAAATGCTCCAGTTGAAAGAGGGCATACCACCATCACAAATGCTCCAGTTGAAAGAGGGAATAGCACCACCAAGTACGTCCCAACCGCACTATGCTACGGGAGACACAACACCTTCCCAATTGAGAGCTTCATGAAAACCTGGAGGCGTCAAGATTTAGAGACCAACTTGTCCTTCGAGGAATTGCTTGACATTCTAGCGCGACAGGTGGGTGCGATTGAGGAGAGGATTCAGGAGGCGTCTAACCAAGTGGAGAATCGCATGGATGATGAGGCTCGTTGGGACCAGTTGGCGCGAGTGCGGAAGGTACTTTTGGCAGTTGGAGACATCATACTATGACTCGTCCCTGGAGAAGCAGTGGTCCAAGAAGCTTGATAGAAGGTGGCTAGGACCCTATCGGATTGTGCGATGTGGAGATTTCGGAGCCTACCAAATTGAGGAGCTGGATGGGACGGAATGGAAGGATTGGGTATCGGGAACGAGACTGAAGAAATTTGTGGCAAGAAAGGAGGTAAGATAGGCGATCCAAATCCTATAAAGTAAGATCCTAAGTATGTAGGGAAGAGTCATAGATAGGACGTAGAAAATAAAGGGATGATAGGATGAATAGGTTGGATAGGTGTGCTTGATGGGTGTGCTTGGTCTGACCTGAGCCTGTTTTATTTTTGCCTGTTCGCTTACCCCAATGTGTGTCTGTCGTCTTTTTCGCCTGTTGTGCAAGTCCGACTTTACGAAGACTGCCATGCCGAGAGGAGGGAGGGGGACGTGGTCGCCGCGGAGATGATTGGGAGCATTGAAAGGTTATGAGAGGCATGCGTCTCGCCATAGGGAGCACACACACGTATACAATGACGGGGATATAGAGCTCTTTTTGGATGACTTTCGAGGATATGCGGAACACATGGGATGGACGGTGACCCAAATGATCGAGAGGCTGAGAGGAGCCGGCAGATTTGAGGAGCCCATCGCACGGATCCGTAGGGAGAGAGCGACCTGGCCGGAGGTGGAAATGAGGATGCAGGAGCTACGACCGTCAACTGTGGGGCCAAATGGCAGGCCAATCCGCTTGGAGATTGGAAACGTGGGGAACTTCATCCCCGCCTTTGAGCAGTTCATGCATGGCCAGCGCATATTCAGGGATCAGTGGGCAAGGACGTTACCCCTATGGACCAAAAAGGCGGAGAGACCATTGGCCAGGCAGATTAGGGATATGGCTCGGGACAGGAAGAGTTGCCGGGCACATTTGAGGGAAGCCTTTCGACGGTCGGAGCCCTCTCAACGTAGGGTTGACAGACGGCAGAGGAGCAAGAGGGAGAAGGACCCAGAGCCCAGAGAGGCTATGCCATCTCGAGGAGGACGAAAGGCACTCGCTTGGCGACAGGAGTCAATAGCTGTGGAGGAGCGAGGGGCATATCCCGAGTGTGGGATACGCCCGGTGGTCTTCCAACACTTTACTGGAGCGGAGTTGAGCGGGTCTCCCCTGCACACGAGATAGGAGGTGTCGCCATCCGGAGGATCATTGCAGGAACTGGAGGCACACCTGGATATTTCACAGTGGAGAGAGCCGCCGACTAGCGAAGTGCGTGGTGAGCCGGCAGAGGAGGTACCACGAGAGGAGGTCCATGAGCCTGAGCGGGAGACGAGGCAGAATGTTGAGAGAGGGCGCGCTATGGAGGAGGTGATAGAGTTTGAGGAGGACACTCCACCTCGGCCGCATGCTGCAAAGTTGGGGCCAGAGATCATACTGGAGATCGCCCGCGAGGAGGAGGAACCTCGGCAGGAGGAGATTCCGTCCCCGCCGTCGGAGGCGATCCTTTCGCCAGGGGTGAAAATGTAGATTGAGCGAAAACGGACCAACTGGACAAAAGACGCCATCTCCACGATTGATAGGTATCTGGTTGCACATGCCCAAAAGCACCCTGACATCGAGGAACCCGTGCCTATGGAACCACCACGAAAGTCGCGCCAGCTAGAGAGAGAGCGGGGGCCGAGATTCCAAGGAGAGCAGACCATCGCACAAGAGGGAGAGTACCGACAATGGAGACAGCCGAGGAAAAACGGGTCAGATTTGGGAAGTGCGTGGTCAAAATTTGGCATGAAAGGCAAAGATTAGACGTGGCAGGAGCGCTCCCAGATCAGCCACCAGGCACACCGCCTAAACCATGTGGAGTCAAGGAAATGTGGGACGAGTTCTTTGGCCAGCACGGCGAGGGATTGGCGACTCCAGAGAGGGCAGGACTCGGCGAGGGATCCGCTTCCTGGCCAAAACATCTTTCAGTAGGTACATGATGTTGGAAGCTGATCTGGTCGAAAAGAAGATGAAGGAAGCAAGCCATGAAGTGCGTTTGGAGGCCGTTGAGGCAAAGGTCCGAGAGCTCAGGGCATTGGTGGCTAGTCAAGCTGCCAGGATCCAGGATTTGAGGCGGTGGCCTCGAGACTTGGCGGACAGGACGGAGAGACGAGCGTCTGCCAAAGGAGTGGACGGGGCAGGGAGCAGTCGACATGACACTCAGAGAGAGTTAGTACAAGGCTTATCCAGGCAGCCATCTGCAGTTGGACTCCCCAGGAGCCGCCCATGGGAAGAGCCATCCTGAAACCTGAGGAGGCAAAAGCAAAGAGGGAGGCAGAGAGAGAGGCCTTTGAGTTCAGAAGGCTACTGAACTGGCCACATTGCCCATAATACTTGTGGAGCCCACGACAGTGGCTATGCCATTATCAGTCAAGGGGCGGCAGCAGACAGCTAACAGCAAGCCGGCTCAGGGTTCAGGAGAAGGGTCTATGGAGGAAGTTGACACTATGCAGGAATAGGCGAGTCTGTTTTCACCTGAGCAGAGGGTGGAGGAGCCTCCTGAGAGAGAGGTAGTGATTGCGATGGAGGGCGTCATCGAGGGTAGACCACAGAGCTTGGATACACCTGAGTATAGGCCGGAGGGGATTGGGATACGACTAGAGTCGAGTACTCGGGAGTGGAGGCGAGACTGGACGCGCCTATGGGTGTGCCCCAATACCATGAAGTCGCCAGGGAGGCTAATGAGGCACCCTCGTTGCCAGGGTCAGAGAAGAAGAAAAAGAGAGGCCGAAAATCAGGAGACTTGTCTTGTTTCTTCTGCAAGGATGGGGAGCATAGGGCCTTGCAGTGTCCTAAGTTTTTGAAGGACAAGGCAACAGGGAAGGTTATTGAGAGAGGTGGTCGGATGTATGATAGGCAGGGACGAGTGGTAGAGCGGACAGCCAACGGGGGTAGGGCTCGGTTGTATAAGCAGAACCACGAGGAGATGAGTAAGTAGGGACTGGTTCGCATATGTATATGTGGTGAGTAGGACGTTGTGAGGCAGGGTTGAGTTTGCACTTCTGATTGGATACTCGCTTTTTCTTTCGTATTTCTGTTTTGGTACTGTTAGGAGTTTGGGTACATACGTTGTTTAGTTGAACATATAAAAGGTTACAGCGTGTGATTCCCATTGGGATTCTTTATAGAGGCTTGAGAGTCGGGATTATGGAAGATAGCATGAGTATACAGAGGTATTTTTCTTTGACCTTGACACTCGGATTTAGTAGTTGTTTGTTTTTGCGACGCTTTTTAACATTGTGTTTGGCCATGTATCATAGTCAGAGTGACTTTGATTAATCCGAGTGAGTTGTAGGTTTGGGCTATTGTATATGTTTTTGGATGAGATATCTCATCCCTGAGTGTATGTTGAGCTGAGGTCTACTATTGAGACTATTTCCTTGTATATGACGATCACAATCACTCTCACATGTGTGGATTTATCAATGAATGTGAGTTGTCTACTATTCGGTATACTCGTGCGACCTGCCCACAGGGCAGGTGATAGGGTCGGGTATAAAGAAGAGGAAGTGCAGTTTGTTTTTGTGAAAGATTGTGAGAATCCTAAAGGGATTTACGAGTCTTTGAGACTCGAAAGATTTACCATGCCGAATGTTTATTGTCGAGTTGTGATGAGAACTCATAAGTTGGTCTCTCAGTTTGAGTTGTTTTAGGGTTAAAACATGCTCAAATGAGGAAGACAGTCTTGTGTTTGTTGGGAGACTCATCTTCAGAGGGGAAAGATGTTTTAAGAGAAAGGTCGCGTGAGAGCTCATCCTAAGAAAGAGAAGGGATGACTGGGAGACGTATTTAAGTGAGACCTCCTTCATAGGAAAGGCGATTAATAGATTCAATGGCATGGTAAGTTGATTGTTGGATGATAAAGTCTGACGAGAAGGACCAAGTTTTTGTTTGGCCATTTCTGGAATTTTGGAGGTCGCAAGCGTGATTTATTTTAGGAAATGCCACTGAGAGGTGGCCTTCTTGCCCTGATAAAGTACGGAGGCCACGGCGGTGATTTTGTTTTGTGAACGTGCAGAGGTTGTCGTATTTTCTCCGTATTGTCCCATAGAGGACCGGTAAATACCTTTTATGTGTGACAGACCTTTGCGTAGTCCCGCAGTAGGCCTGTATTGTTGCAACACACCAGCCAACCGCTTGTGTTTATCTTAGGGCATTCATGAGAATACCAAGCTAACGGTAAAGTTTAGCATCACTAGTGTCAGCTGCTGATCGGCATAACCTGAACAGCGGGCCTACATCTTGCCAAGGGAGTAAAGTCTTAAAGGAGTATGGCCGCCGAGGAGGGTTTTACTCCCGCGGAACAGTGTGGGATAGGAATCGAGTCAATCTTTTTTTTTTAGTCCTGATTGAATGCTTGTCAGGAAAAAGCCTATCGTGGCACAACCTGCGAGGAAACTACCGCTAAAATAACGTGGTGGGCCGTAGATCTGGCACGATCACCCTGACTATGGTGGGCCAGGATGGAAACTGTAGGAAGAATCTATGATGAGATTTGTGTATATATATATATATATGTCGTCAAATAGAATTGCCCGGTAAACCGTAGGCAGAGAGGGAGAAGAGGACAACAAACGAGGGGCTGTGACAAACTGTTTCGTCGGAGTTTCACCGACTCATCAGGAGGCTGAACCCTATA